TTCACAGCAGAAGGACTTCAGCATCAATACTACACAGTTATTGATTAAGGTATCCCAAGGAGGAGGGGGACTACCACTGCAGATTTAGCCCCGATATTTTCCCCGATTATAATGAGCCTCTTTGTGAGGCTGTATGAATACCCAGTGTTAACTGTACAATGATCTCATCATTTCCTATTTACTCCATACTTACCTGAATACACAATTTACTGTAATTTTTAAATGCATAAGCACACTAGTAAAATGTCCCTTTGTAAGAAGGTTCCATAAAAGGCTACTTTTGATATACAATTTCTTTATCTCCTCTTCAAACTGAAGTAGACTACTTCCTTCTTTTAAAATACAATTCACCCACTATTTAAAAGCTTTGGCTTTGATTTCTCAGAACATCCCAAGTTTTTGTTTTTGTTTTTTTAAACCATATTTCTGAAGACAACCTTGTACTGATTTATTTTGATTTGATAATGAAATTATGTTCCTCCAAAGAATACTAGCTTCTTCCCCCTGTCCCTCCCCCACACCCCCATTTCACTACAAGTACATTGCTGTGTTCAAAACTCCAGGCAAAACTGAAATCCCTCTGTCTGGAGCTACATACATATCAATATATTTGTACTTAGAGAAATTAGAGTCAGATTTTTTAAAATTCTTTGTGAAACATACTGTATGTTACATCCATGCTAACCACTGAGCTCAGACCAAATAACTAGATAGCATTTAAACAAATTTCAGTAAAATTTAGCATCCACCGTTTTAAGGAACAGACATGTATAGCTGATATAAAGGTCATTTGTTCTAAAACGTTAGCTCTTTTTAATTTTCTTTTAATTAAAGTTTTTTTATTTGCCCCCGCACACACACTTCGTTGTGGGAGGGGGTCCATTCCACTGTCCACATTGACACTGATGATTTCCCTGTAGTAAAGTTATTTATACCAACTATTAAGCCAAAATCTAATGCTAAAAGGATGATCCAAGATTTACCATCATTTCTCTACAATTTGTTATCCCCAAAAGGTCTTTTCTTCTCTCTCCCATACATGTGTAACTCCCATTAATATCAAAGAGAGCTACATGGGTACAGGCAAAGTAGAAGCAGCCTCTAAGAGAAGTTTCAGAGTAACAGCCGTGTTAGTCTGTATTCGCAAAAAGAAAAGGAGTACTTGTGGCACCTTAGAGACTAACCAATTTATCTGAGCATGAGCTTTCGTGAGCTACAGCTCACTTCATCGGATGCATCCGATGAAGTGAGCTTGAGCTCACAAAAGCTCATGCTCAAATAAATTGGTTATCCTCTAAGAGAAGGGTCATTTGTTGAGCTCTTCCAACAAGACAGTACATCACCTGGACCCAATCCTGCAAACAATTAAGCACATGTAACTTTACTCGTGTGAGCTGTCTCATTGACTCAGATGACCAGTCCTTTAGATTTTCACATCAGTAACATTACACACATGATTCAGTGTTTGCAGGATCGGGCACTACATGCACATTTTAAACTAGTAAATAGAAAATCCATATTTAAAACTATTTGGACTTTGTCAATGTACAGAAATACAGGGCTTATTCCTCATCCTCAATGTGGACTTGTCTAGATAAGGACTGTATCTTGGACCAAATAATGTTACTTTTTTAAAATGTTTAGGTTAAGCTTAAACAGGTAGCCCATAACTTTTTTGCTTTTAACTACATATAACTTTCCAGCCACAGTTTAGGTTTGGCTGAATTTTTATATATTTATTTTTACTTATTTTCAAATTTATTAATTTGGTAATTAATTCCCTCTGTCTCTGAAAAGGCAAAACTTAAAAAAAAAAAAAGACAGATCAGTAATGATTCAGTTACTAATTAGTTAAATCGATTTTTCATTTTTACTTCCAAAACTGGTGTTCTAATTTAAAATGTGTTACACATTTCCTCAATAGCATCATCTGGTTTCTAAATCTAAACCTGGGGAAAACAACAGCTGCAAAATAACATAGACCAGTAGATGTTTCAATGCTTTCTGTCTCATCAGATGTCTGATTCTGTAGCCTCTTATTTACAGGCTACAGAAATATCATTCAGATTGGGTATGGGGGAATCTAATGAACTTAAAAGAAGCTGTAAGACCTAAAATCTAGCACTCTGTGGCAAACTTTAAATCCTGCTGGTTTTCCAGTGAGACTCTATAGAGAAAAATACCTTGCGTCCTGGTCTTTCTTTCAGTATATGCTCTTAATGTCTACAAATCTCTCATCTGAAACATTTGCAGATGAAAAAGAAGCATGTGTTTATGGTTCCGTGCCTGGCCTGGCCAAACCCTGGAGTGGAGAAGGTGCTGGGGATACAGTAGGAATTCTCAAGATAGGTGGGCTGCTCGGAAGCCTCATTTTCATGTTAGTGTCCCAAATACTCTTCATATTCATAGCAGCCGCCTCTCAGCACAGCAGTGCTGGTGCGTGAGCTCTGGAAGAGCCAGAAAGGTTTGCATGTGACTGCAGTGCATAGAGTTTTCTTCTGTGTGCTGAAAGTTTCGGAAAGGCAAACACCTCTTCATATCAAGGTGTGCTTTTTGTAAGGCTTTAATGTTGCCCTTTTTTCCCATAGTTCTGAAATAAAGAGGCAAATAAGCCCCATTCTGCTCATGATTCAGACTTTCTGAGTGGTACAAACAACCAGTACTCAGCAAAAGAAAGGTCTCATGGTTCAGGAATGGAACAGAAAGAGCTGAGAGATCTGGCTCTGCCACAGCATTCCTATATGATCTTGAGCAAATCACTGAACCTCCTACTGCCTCGGTTTCCAATCTGCAAAAGCCAAGGTGTGAGGGTATTTGTGAGACTTAATTCTTTAATATTTTTAAAGCATGTTGAGGTCTTCAGGTGGCAGCTGCTATAGAAGTGGAAGGTAATCAATTAATTATTATTATTTACAAGTTTAGATAGATTTCACTCTATCCTCCAAACACCTGTATGGTCTTAATTTTCTAGCTTTCCAGGGATATTAATTTCATCATCAGCCATTGACAAGGATACCTTGGAATTTACTATTTTACTGAAATGGAAAATTTTAACAAAGTAAAACTTTAAGCGATGGTTTTTTTCCCCCATTCCTCCCTGAGTTCTCACCTCAGAACGTAACTAATAACAATTACAAAGCTGGGATAATTTGCATAAAATTGCATCTCAAATTGCATGCAACAATGGTTTGACAGAAAAGCTGTATAGTAAGTAGTTACTGCTTTCCGCTTCACCATGCAGTTTTATATCCTATGAATCACCGTAGCAGAAAGCTTGAAACTTACACTTGAATGCAAAAACAAAATGTGGGGAACCTGAGGGAGCCTCCTGTTGGAAATAAATGCAGAAGTGTAGGCAACTTTAGCTTGTTTACAAAATGCCATAACCCAAATTGCAAATATTTGCTGATATTACAGAGGAAAACTGACTTATGTTTGAAATTCACTGTCAGACATGCTCCTATTTTAACTTCTTAAAAATTTAATATTTTACAAAGTTTTTTGAGTTGCATTAAGATATGCAAGTGTGTGTGTGTGTATTTTTCTCTTTAAATGTATAATTATATGGCTTTAAATACAGATAGAGACATATAGATAATTTGGGGGATATACATTTGGTTAACTTGAAAGCTCTGAAGTGTCATTTGTGACTCTATAGTACGAACTTCAACAGCATTTTCCAAAGTGACTTTTTTCTGCCTCCCCTCCCTCCTCCAAAAAATCAAAATGTACTTCATGAAACTATTGTATATGAAGCACTTATTAGCCGTAATTAAATGGACAATATGAATTTACTACGTCTTTAGGACTCTGGCTTGTTCTGGTTTAGAGCAAAATGATTAATGCAAATACATATTACTTGAGATAACCATTTAGCAGCTAATTTAGCCAAATTTATTACAGCAGTTAGAGGTTTTTCATTTTAGCAGACGGAGACAAGGGCATGCCAAAAGCAGAAGGTGTGTATGAATGCACACTGCCCTCTAGTGCGCAAAGCTTCCTGGGATTAACAGAAAATACAGACAAGCAGAGTATGCACTGGAGTAATAATATCCAGATGTAAGTATTCTAGGCATTCTTTAAAATAATGCCAGTGTAAAGTATTTTATTTCCATGAAAGATAAGCATCTTATTATTTCTGTACTAGAAAAGAAGAATCAGATACAAATCAAAGCAATTTTGACTGGGTAACATTGTGGTTAGAGAATTATTTTAAACTTCTGTATTTTTTAAACTCTCTTTCTGTGGGCATCTAACATCACAGTTTCACATTACTGATTGTTTTTACTTCTTCTCCATTCCTGGTTATATTTCAGGCCCTGCAGAGAGTTGTCACTCTGCTTGACTCTAACCAAAAGTCAATTCGGCACCTCCCTTAGGCCACAGTTCCTTTCGCAATCTGTTGGTAGATTTATTTTGCTCCAGTATTAAGCAACGTCTCCCAGGACCTTCCCCCTGCTGACCAATGGAGATTTGATTCATCTGCGAACTGTAAATTCTGTTTGACAAGATCAAAAGAAACAGATATGTAAGTTCAGTAGTTGATATCTCCTGCAATAAGGAGAAATGATCAAAGAACAGGGTAGAGTATCTTCCCAAACCTTTCAAATACCCAGACTCTCAAAGAGTTCTACCTGCAAGCAATGAATAAATCACACACATTTTTTTTTTAACAATTTGTTGTCAAATGCACTGGAAATAGCCAGGCAGCATTAGGAATTTTGTGGGCCACAGAGATTTGTAGTCCTCTTTGCTCTTCCTCTCACATTGGAGCTCCCAAAAGCTGATTAAAGACTTATTCCAAATGAGTGTAGCCCATGATTCTCCACTGATGCACGAGTAAATAGTTGAACTTATTTGTCATCTTACTGGCATTCGACATTGAACATACAAAACGGGCCAAGTGCATCCCATTCCTTTACATTGGGAATTGTAGAGATGAACATTATTTTACTAGGATACTAACACAATATTTATTGTCCTTTTTGTTTTCTTCCCAGTGCTGAATAAGGGTCAGTGTGTAACTAAATATTACCGCTGGATGCAGAAGAATGGAGGGTACATCTGGATACAGTCCAGTGCTACCATAGCTATCAATGCCAAGAACGCAAATGAGAAGAATATCATCTGGGTCAATTACCTTCTTAGGTATAAGTTTCAGTCACTTCCTTTATTTGAAGTTCTGCCTCTGTTACTTGACTCACATTGAAAGATATAGAGTAAAAAGAAAAACAATGGCAACTACAGAAAGTTAATATGAGATGAGCTTTCTCATCTGTTCGTGCTCAGAACCAGCTCCTTCTGGTGAAAGTTATTGAGACATCTGTCATGTCTCAGGTTACTGGGAACTTCTTGAATGATTACACTATGTTCGTATTAGAGTAACCCTCCATCAGTTTTATTGCAGGCCTCCATTGCCTTGAATTCAACCCAGCACTAGCTGAAACTCCCAACGACCTGGCCCACCATGCACTCGGCTTGTTATAAAACATGTGATGGATTTTTAAGCAGTGGTTTCTTTGGTTATTGCAAAATCCTGGTCTGACATCTGAAGGCAATCTTCCTGGGACATTACAGACATGTCTCTTGGAAAGGTGATCTTCATTCCAATATGCCTTCTTGCGATGACAGGCCTTAAGGCAGTACTCACCTTGAAAGATGGAAAAAAATAAATAAATGCAGAAGAAGCCTGTTAAGTAGAGCTGGTTGGAACATTTTTGACAAAACTTTTTTATTGTCAAAATATGCTATGTTATCGAAGCCAAAACATTTCAGTTTGACTCATTGATTTTGAGTACATTTTCAACGGAATGGTTTCTAAGGTCCAGGATGGACTCTCTGGTCACAGGGAGAGAAACCCCTAATTGAAAACTTGACCTTTTTCATTCTAAAACAGTTTTGACACAATTCCATTTTGCAAAAACATTTGGAAGGGGTTTGGGGTTGTTGTTTTTTTCATTCTAATGAAAATAAATTTGGAAACCTCAAAAGTTGTAGCAAAACAGAATTGTCATTCTCTGGTCAGCTCTGCTTGTAAGTAAGTTACTTGCCATGGCTTGTTATGTTCCCTTTGTTCCAGGAGTGAGGCAGGGAAAGTTCAAAGTGATGTCTAAGGGCTAGATTGTGACTTTTATACCATAGCCAAGGAGCATCGTAGAGATTGTGCCTGCCTGAACCACAGTCTTGGATGGTGGAGTAGTCTTGATTCCCTGGGCTGGGAGCTAGGAGCAATCAATTCCTAAGGGAGTGCAGGCCCCTGACATTGTGGAAGCTTTGCATGGCAGTGGAGGGGTAAGGGAAGGAGGACTGGGGCACATTTCTGCCCTTGTGTGACTGAGTGGGATTGGATCCTCTCATAATCTGTCCCTGTTCCCTTACTTTTTTCTTTAAAATGTGGTGGATGATTGATATCTATGAAAGTGAGGAAATAGCCAAGCTTGCAAGAGTGAAGCATAGTTGCAGCAATAGTTGCTCCTGAGTCTTGACCTGCAGCACGTGCTTGCCCTTCTGACCCTAAGCTTCTCCTGAACAGAGCTTCAAACTATGCCAAATAGTGTATTGGTTTTCTAATCTCCATAAACATCTAACTAGGATTATAAACCAATGCTTTTTTCACATTTGCTGGTATCCAGACACTGAGTAAATCTGATCCACAACTGTTCCACAATAATTTGCTGTCTACTAACAGAGTATCAGTCAGAAACTAATTAAGATGGGGGCCTAATTGACCATTACTTAGATTCCTCATAGAACTTGATTTTTCTCCCTCATTCCCATCAGTGTTCTGTTAGAGAAAGGTAACTCCTTCATACAATTTGTGTATTTTTAAATAAAGATTACTCCCAAACAAGATCCAAGCAATGAATAGGATTCTATTGACAGAGCAAGGCATAAAGAGTTCTGATATTACCAATGGCAAGAACACTGGTTTAGATATATTTTCATGCATGAGAAAGTATGTTCAGATGCCTGTCCGACTTGTGCTCCAAATAGACAAACTCTGTTGCTAGATAGAGCTGATATTCTTGTTCAAGAAAATAGTTTTGTTTTTAAACAACTCTTTATTCCTATACAAGGTGCAGTTGTACCCCACACACACTATTTCTTTTGCTTGAGGGGAGGAAAGTTTTGTGGTGCATTGCTGCATTCTGGCATGGCCATGTACAGTAACATCATCACATTGTTGATGTCACTTTTTTTGTCCCACAGGACAAATCTGCCAGGGTGACAATCCTAGGTAAGAATAGAGAACAACTGTGAATGTTTCAACATTGAATTTTCACAGTGCACTAGAATAGATTGCATATAGGCATTCTGTAATTGTAATGCTCTGGACACATTTAGTAGCCCTGGACCCTCCCCTTCCTTCTGTCTGTAGAGAATTGGAGATCTCCTGGTAACCCACTGGCCTGAATATGAATCACACAGGAATGCTCAACCACTCAAAAATCCACTAAAGAATATTTTCTTAAACAATCTATGCTACATTTGTCTATCTAGGTGTCTTCTTCTGGCCTTGCCTTTAATTTTAAAAGGAATCTATTTTAAAAAGGCACAAAACAGATCAAAAATATTTTTTGTAAGACTCTCTTTGATAGTGGGGCTTTTTCCACATTGCAATCATGTTCTTTGCTAACAAGCCACAGGTGAACACCACATGAGCAGATGAAGATATGATTATAATAGGTGTGTTGACAGTTCTGTATCCTTAACATATGCATCATAACATGCACGTGTGCATCTGTCATATATTTAGGTTGTTAATTTTTTTCCCTAATAGCTTTAGAGCTATCTGAGCAGTGACCAGGTTCTGTGGTCCTTAATTGAGCAATATTCTCAGTAATTTCAAAGTGAGATTTACTAGCGTAAAGTCTGGAGAATATAGCCCTTCGGAAAACAACTATTCAAAAGCTATGACAAGGATTGCATAGTGTAATGCCACCTGAATGTGGTGAGCATCATAGGTAGTGTAGAAACAAGTTTTAAAGGATATCAACTCCCTCTCTCTCTCTCTCTCTCTCTCTATCCCTATTATCACTGTAATGGGAAAGAATTCTAGATATTAGATTGTGGTATTGATTACACAAACGAGACTTGCTTTTAGGTATCAGACAGGCAGGGCTACCTAATTAGCTATGAGTATAACTCAGATATTTTGTGGTATCAGGCATGGGGAGGGATAGTTCAGTGGTTTGAGCATTGGCCTGCTAAACTCAGGGTTCTGAGTTCAATCCTTGAAGGGGCCATTTAGGGATCTGGGGCAAAAATTGGGGTTTGGTCTTGCTTTGAGCAGGGGGTTGGGCTGGATAACTTCTTGAGGTCCCTTCCAACTCTGATATTCTATGATTTTACTACCAATTTAGTATTAAAAAAAACTTTCAAAAAATTCTGCTGTGATGAACTGAGGAGAAATATGTATGTTTTCATGTTTCCTCTTCTCTATATTTACATTCTTTGCTCCTGAGATTTGATAAAGGAAAGGGAAAACTATCAAACTGCAAATCATCCATTTGTGTTTATGTTTGCTCTCTGTTCTTTAGTAACCCAGAGTACAAGGATACGCCGATGGATATTGCACAACTTCCTCATCTGCCAGAGAAAACCTCAGAATCCTCAGAGACCTCTGATTCTGAATCAGACTCAAAGGACAACTCAGGTAATATAAACAATCCTGCGCTCCGACTACTTTCCTTTTTTATTTTATATTTTTGTATCTTCAGAGCCAAGTCAGTGATTGTATTTCCAGATTATCACTAAATCTCACATTTTTTATGGATGGTTCAGCTTTAGAAAAAATACCTTAAAACCTCAAAATCCTGTTTTTAAAAGATATCAAAATCTTTTAGTGACCCAGAATGATCGGCTATTTACTCAGTGCATGCATGCCTGCTTGAATTACACTTATCTAAATATTTGAATCCCCAGTTGAGTTTGTGAGCAAGCATTATGCCTTGTGCAAAGGCTTACATTGTAACTACTGAATATGATTCCAGTTCTTATCTGTCGCATGTAGTCAGATGTTCCTAACATAAATGTACACTGTCAAAGTTTATCACCCCCTTTGCTGTGTAAATAGGCTTCTTGAGTTGCTTCACTAGGGGGCAGTAAAGATTGCAAAAGTTGTATGTTTTCTTAAATTAAAAGCATTACATTTTATTAGAACTTTACAGGTTCAAAGCACCTGTTTGTAAGTTTTACTTTTCTTTGGGGATTTTTTGTTTGTTTTAATACTAATGATCTGGTTCAATTAATTCTATAAATAAAAAATCCTAAAGAATGGCAGTGTGTTCAGCCTGTTAATTTATTCCCCAGTAGATTTATAAGTAATTACATATGTAGATGTACAGATTGGCTGGTGTCTTTGTAAGGGATTGTCTTTAGTCCAAAAAATGATTCTGTAGGCCTGATTCTTCTCTCATGTCTGTATAAATCGGGAACAAATACACCAAAGTCATTGGTTACACACTATTGTAAATCAGGTGTAAGTGAGAAGAGAATCATGACCTATATGTTTTATTTTTTAATTAAGCAGCCATTTGTTCTCTCATCTTTTGCACTTATTCCTCCTTTCTCTTTTGACAGCTCTGTTTGACAGTGAGAGTCAGATGTTAGGCAAACATACAGGCTTTATGTCCATGTGATTTGAGATCTCATCAGCCATTCAGAATGCTTTTTTTCCTACCCAGTTTCTAGATAACCCGATAATACAGTTGAGGAGAAAAGAGTTTCTATAGTTGAGAAGTGTATTTATGTTCATGACTGCTGAGGCTGGCACAGAGTAAGAGAGCATTCTTCAGTGACACACAGATGCATGCATCTTAGAAAGTAGGACAAAACTTTTAACAGCTTTGGGTTCTTTTGGGTTCACTTAATATGAATTAAACAAAAATACAGAAAGGACTAGGTTCATAAGATCTTCTTGGCTGAAACCAGTAAGTTCAGTCCAAGCGTTTTTAAATCTGCAGACAACCTTGGTGCCATTTTGTTTTATCTTAGGTTGAAGTCACTGTACCAAATGGGAACAGTAGCTTAAAAGAAAAAAACTTTTCTTTTTAAATTTTTTTTTGGTTAGCAATTTGGCTTTAAGTAGAAATAAAAGCTGTTTTTTCATAACAGAAGGTTTCAGAATCTTATTGATTTTTTTTAAAACCACTCTAAATAAATTAAATGTACAGAGCCTGAAGCTTTGAACAGCTAACATCCCCATCAAGACCAGCTGTTCAGCTGCTTCTGGCAAACTGTTTGGAATTGCCATGGCTCCAGGAGAACCCAATCTTTACAGAAAAACTGGCCCTTTTTTCCCCTGCTCAGAGCAGAGAATTTAAAATGGTAATGCTTGGCTCTGATGAGGGAAAACAAAAACGTCTTTTATTTCCAAAGGAAAGAATTCTGACTGTTCTGCACAGACTGGGTTCTCCTCAAGCCATTCATGACCCTTTCAAACAGTGTGTGATAATTGTCCGTTTTCTGAAAGCTGATCTTGGCTGCCGTAGTCCAACGGACTCAAGTGTTTGTCTTATTCAGTTAAAAATGAGGTAAATATAAAATAAAGTTAAAAGAAATAGGAGGAGGACAGGACCAGGTCCTGAGCTGATGGAAATTGGTACAGCTCCATTTGTTGCACTGGAGTTATTTTTTTCTACTTTATTTTTTTACCTTCCAAGGGAATATTGGCACACAGCAGGGCAATGTAACTACGTTGTTTTAACTGATATATTCATTCAGATTTATAAACAGAGGACCTGATTCTCCACTCACCCTGGGGTAACTGAAGAGTAACTCCATTGAAGTCCACATGACGCCAGTGTAGAACACGAGTAAGTGAGAGGAGAATCAGGGGCGTGGATTATCACTTCATCATGCTACTGCGTCACTCCTATTCCCATTATAAGAACATGTATGCTAAACAGAAATCTCGAGAGTGCATCACCAGTGCTGAATTGTTCACTGACATCTCACTTCGGTGAACACAATTGGAATCCAGTTGCAGTTAGTTATCAGAATTGTTCTCATTAAAGAGAATGTACCAAAGGATCCCACTTGAAATAGGTGCCCTCACACTTGTTACAAAAGCTGCAGTCTAGTGACAAATCCACCAGACCTTTTCCCATTGCCACTGACAGTCCTTAATCAGGGGGATTAATGATAATCAAATCCCTTCAAGCTTGATGCTGCTAGAACTGTGGATCTAGAGCTCAGAAAAACCCACCTCAGTTGAGCCTCAGAGGAATGCTTTTACCAGAACTTTACAGGCAATAACATCTCATTTTAGGTAGACAAATGGAGTTCTAATCTGATGTTCCTATTGCTAATGGTGTTTTTCACGTTTCTTTCCTTCCAGAGGACAATGAGAACTCAAAGTCAGATGACAAAGGAAACCAATCAGAAAACAGCGAAGACCCTGAATCTGATAGGAAGAAGTCTGGGAATCAGTCAGATAACGAAATGAACTGTAATGATGATGGGAACAGCTCCAGCAACCAGGACAGCAGGGACAGTGATGACAGCTTTGAAAATTCTGACTTTGAGAATCAAAAGGCCCCTGAGGACAGTTTTGGTACTCTTGGTTCTATGCAGATCAAGGTGGAGCGCTACGTGGAGAGTGAATCAGACTTGCGGTTGCAGAACTGTGAATCGTTGACATCAGATAGCGCCAAGGACTCAGATAGTGGAGGGGAGGTAAATGCCCAGTCTTCCAGCAAACATCAAAAGAGGAAGAAGAGGAGGAAAAAGCAGAAAGGAGGCAGCATGACCCGCAGAAGGCTATCAAGCACTTCAAGCCCAAATGGACTTGACTCAGCTTTGGTGGACCAGCCCCAGCTGCTCTCGTCGCCAAACAGTGCCTCAGTGCTCAAAATTAAAACAGAGATCTCAGAACCTATCAATTTTGATAATGATAGCAGTATTTGGAATTACCCACCTAACAGGGAAATCTCAAGGAATGAATCGCCCTACAGTATGACCAAGCCCCCAAGCTCAGAGCACTTCCCCTCCCCACAAGCCAGCAGTAGTTTACATGTCTCCATTCCAGACTCCGTTCTCACCCCACCGGGGTCTGAAAATACTGCCAGCCGCAAAACTCAGTTCAGCACCTCATCCAGCTCGGCCTTGGCTCCTGTATCCTCTGACCCTTTGTCACCCCCGCTTTCAGCATCTCCACGGGACAAACATCCCGGAGGTCCCAGCACTTCCAACTCTTTGTTGTACACTGGGGATCTGGAAGCCCTTCAGAGGTTGCAAGCAGGCAATGTGGTGCTTCCTTTGGTTCACAGGGTAACTGGAACCCTTGCTGCCACCAGCACTGCTGCTCAGAGGGTCTACACCACTGGCACTATTCGGTATGCTCCAGCTGAAGTTACTTTAGCCATGCAGGGCAACCTCCTCCCTAATACCCACGCTGTTAACTTTGTTGATGTTAACAGCCCCAGCTTTGGGCTGGATCCTAAAACGCCGATGGAAATGCTCTACCACCACGTTCACCGACTCAATATGTCGGGACCATTTGGAAGTGCTGTGAGCGGGGCCAGTCTGACCCAAATGCCTGCAGGGAACGTGTTCACAACTGCCGAAGGACTTTTTTCCACTCTTCCATTTCCTGTGTACAGCAATGGCATTCACACTACACAGACTCTGGAACGGAAAGAGGATTAAAATATGACCACATACTGTGTTCAGTGTTATTCTCTGAGGCATAGACTATGTTTTAATTTAGACCTTTAATTCTAGCACTTTGAATTTGAGCAGGTCAGCTTATTCTCTCGATATGATGGTCCCCCTTTCATTCCCTTTCTCTTTAACTTGACTTATTCTTTAATGTAAAGATATTTTTTTATTTTTGCCTTCAGAGAGTTGAAGTACCAGTTGCCTGCCATTTTGTCTTCTTCTAAGATGTGTGTTTTTTCCTTTGCATCTTTATTAAGATGCCTTTAATATGTGTATGCCTCTGCCATAGAATTCTCAGTGTTGTGGTAAAGAGATTTTAAAGTGACAACCATTGGTTTTACTTCACAATGATCTTGATATGATCAAGATTAAAAGAGACAAGCATAAACAATGTGCCCTGTTTGACTAAGTCAAATGAAAAGGGGTTTTTGTTCCTAATTCCTTTAAAAATAGGGGATAGTATTTTAGAATTTTATGCAGAGTTTAATTCTCTTTTTATGGTTAAGATTTTCTTACTTGCACATAAAATAATTTGGGTTCTTAAAAAGTTAATTTCTGGCCTGTGACTAGAATGTTAAAAAGTTGGACTAAATGTTAATTACTGAAACTTTAACTTAATTTCTAAAACCATGGTGCTATCATTTATTAATCTGTAATGTCTTCATACAATATGCAGCTTGTGGGCTGGGGTTTTTGAAAGGAATGTGTTCTGTACTGGTCTATAGTTGGGTGCTGCAGTCTCCTTGGTTAGTTAAGACAAAAGCCCTCATTAACATTTGCTGCAGGACTTAAAAATTTTTACCTCCAAACTAACAAACATAGCCTCACATTAAATTTAAATGGGTCAGGAAGCCTTTTTGAGAAAGTGCTTTGAAAAAACTCAATTAAATTGACTTGAGGAGCAGTTTTTTAGGTGGATATTTTTTCTCTCTGTTTTTTTTCTCAGTGTAACTGAGGCTAATTTTACAACTTCAAATAACACTTTGGAATAAAAAGAAGGAAAATATTTAACATGTTTTTATTTTTTCATTTAAAGTTATAGAGGGAAGGTTGACTTTTTTGTTGTTGTTTGATTTGTTTTTGTTTTTTCTTATTTCTAGCGTTGAAACCAATATGTTTTAAAACTAAAGAATGGGTTAATAAGCTTGAAATAGATAACTACAACTGAAAACTGCACATTAAGTAAAAGAAAAGAAATCTCCTATTTTGTCTTTGTTGCCAGAAATCACAGTGTAGTGTCAAACACTCCAAATGACTGTCAAGTATAAATTCTTCTTCCACTCCATCTTTGGCAGCTGTTTGTTAAGGCATCTAATAACAGATGTGAGAACTGTAATGTGTACAATGTGTAAGTGTCCTTGGCTGTCAGTCCCATTGCAGTTTCAATGTGTGTTACTATATGCAGTATATACTAAGCTAATGTAGTTGTTTTGTCCTTTGTCTTCTCTGTGCTTTATCTCTAGTCCGGAGTGGTAAAGTCCCATTCCTGCAGTCCTAGTGAACCAGTGATTCTTGGGGGTTAGTGGTTTTTGTGTGGTGGCCTTCCTCTGTAATGTCACCTTATGCTGCTTCCACTGTCTGTATACCTTTTAATTTCTGCTGTTGCTTTGCTGTTGTGTATTCTCAAACCTTTCTCTCTCTCTCTCTGTTCCCTCCCCCCATTCTCTCTTCCTCCCTCTCTCCCTTTTTCTCTCTTTTTCACTCTCAGAGATAAAAGACTCTTAACTAGCTCAAGGTTATTGGAGCCATTTTTCCCACAGAGGAATTCTGGGTATGACTTACTCTTCCAGTGTGCCACACAATGCACTGAAGAGTAATGCTCAGATATATTAAACAAATTGATGCCATATAGCCTCAGTTGTTAACATTCCCAGAGTCCCTTGTGCTCTACTTGTAAGCAGAGGGTGCATTTCTTTGGTTTTCTCCCAGGCGTGCTGATGGAGTAATATATAGAGCAATTACCAGTGAGATAGAAAATTCTTTGAAAAGTCAACCGACATTGGTAAAAAGGGAAACTGAGTTTAGGATTGTCATATATATTTGCTTATGTGTACAATGCTAATATATTCACTCAGCTGTCCTTTGAATTTTTGATCACTCACTGTGTTGAGTCAATTCCTGCTTTGAATCTGAGGAGTAGGTCCAAGCCCACAGTGGAATAATAGTGAAAAGGATGCCACAAATTTTAATAATGAGCATTTAAAGGTTATATGTGAAGGATTTAAGTGGGTCTAAAAAGCCAAGAAAACTGATTGGGAAATTTAAAGTTTAATTTTGGAAGCTCTACTCTAGCTGTTGAACTATCAAAGGAGTGCACCTATCGGCTACAAAGAACAGCTAGACAGCTGTTGTTGTTTTATTTTATTTTTATAAATGTTTCTGTGTTGTGTCAGAATGATTTCTGGTGATTTAAACTAACAGATAATCACAGCTGCTGTCTAAATCCATAGTGTTTAAAATTACAAAATGAAAAAAAACTTCATTACCTGTGAAGACTGTGTCTGTGTTTTTAACTATTTCTTGTACAAATATATGAAATCTTTTATGAGGAGACTGGTGCCAAGTAGCTGAATAATGGGGAAAGGGATTCTGTTCGTATAAATCTTAGCAGTGTTACCAACTCTACAATACAAAAAAAAAATTAAAATGTTAAAAAGTGACAGCTATGGTACATTTATTTTGTGTTAAGCTAACCGAATCTAACTTCTTGAGTGCCTGGCTTATTTGAAACATTTTTTTTCATTGATCATTGATAATGCTGCAAATCAGAAATGTACATACTTCATTTACAACAGGGTTCTTTTTATACTTTTGTAGATTCTCATACATGTCATACATGGTTGTCTTTATGTAACTTAATTTTTTTCATCCCGCAGGTGCCATTTTCATAATAAACTTCTCTTGGATTTGTTACTATCTGGCATCATTTCTTTTACATATAACCATCCTGACTAATGAATGCTGGTAGTATTTGTTTGAGCAGGTACCTTTTTAATTGTTTTGTTTTAAAAAAAAAAAAAAGCCACAGCTAGATTTTATTATCGCTTGTGAACTGAAGAAAAGAAGCTGTCGAGATGCAGGTTAAAAATGCTAATCCAAATACTACATCAATTTGCCACCATCCTAAATTCTCAGCTACCCCAATTCATTGTCATACTGAGCATTGTTACGCACATTATCAAAGCTGTATAATGGACCTGTAACATTAACCACTATGGAAGGTGTGCATTTTGTCTTGATTAATGCACACTGGAAGAGGGCTGCTTACATACATTAATCGCTTAAAATGCACTTTATATTTTCATTTATGATCCTCTACAATGTTATAACCAAACTCTTCAGTCACCTTCGTTCTATGTAGGCTGTTGATTTTTCTGAATATGTACTTTCTTCCTCCAGATTGGCAAAATGTAAGTTGTTGGTATTTTATGTGTTTATTGGCCAAACTGTCTGCCTTGCAAACTGAGGGCAGAAGAGTTTGCCGATGCCAAAAACCCACAAGGCTCTAGACCTTGTCTTCATGACTGAAGTACAAAAATCAAATTGGACTCCAGTTTTGATTACACCAGAAATCCATACACAGTGGTTGACCTTAAAAAGTAAACAATTATCAAGAAATTCCTCTGCACAGCATCTGAAAAACTCTGCTTATTTCCTGTTACCTGCACATAGGGGGAAACTGTGTCTTAGGAGATAGTATTGGTAAGCATTGACTCTGTAATGGCAACTTGTATATGAGGTGTGGAGACTTGCATATAGTGGGTCGAAAGAAGAAGCAGACAGAATGGAACAGCTATTTTCACCCTTACCCCTCCTAATGTGAAGTTCTATGAATCGGGCAATTTCAGTGATTGGATTTCTTTATGCTGCCTTCCTGAGCTGTGACAAACTTTACATACTTTGTGCTGATTCCACTCATTCAGGGAAAAAAACCCTGTGTAGCTGATTCTGTGATCTCTGCTCAGATAAAAGAGCACATTTGAGAGTACACAATGGGGTGACGGGGCAGTGGTTATGATATCCATACATGAGTGTAGGCCACTCTCTATAATGTTGGGTGCCTGAATCTTTCTTCCCCTTTGGGTTCCACCTAACAAAGTTAAATATTTGACATATCATTCTAATAACACTCGTCCAGATTCAGAATACCTCACTCGCCCTGAGTAATACATGACTCCACAGATAGTGCCATTGTTTTCAATGCAACTACTTCCAGAGTAAGATACTATTCAATGGAAGTAAGCGTGTGAATCTGATCATTAGATTTATATATATTTTTTTAAATTCTATGCACCGTTATAGTTCAGTGAGCCTGCCTGATGATTTAACAGCATACGGTCTGGGTCCCTGAATTTCCAAGCAATTGAGGACTCTTGCTTCCCAGGCTACCAGAGACTGAGTTTGATATGTCTCCAGTTTGCAGGAGGTAGAAAGGAGCAGAGGTCAGCAGGCTGCTTTCACATTTCAGTTGGCATTGCTTCTTGTTTATGAGGTAACTAGGGGCAAAGAAGCCAAAAAAGAGAAAGAGGGAATTTAAAACGAGCTAGAAAGAATGCCCAGAATAAAGGGGAAATGGAAGAATAACAGATCCATTCCAAATTAGTTTTAACCAATATTAGCTAAAGCCGCTAATCCCCTGAGAGGTTTTCTGAACTATAAAAATATCCAATGCATCCGATGAAGTGAGCTGTAGCACACGAAAGCTTATGCTCAAATAAATTGGTTAGTCTCTACCGTGCCACAAGTACTCCTTTTCTTTTTTTAAAAATACGCAATGTTATTGTCTAAGCGTTGGTTGAGAGATACAATAACAGCCAAAGTGAGCAAAGTAATGATGAGATGCCAGTGTATTATGTGAAAGAAAATGGTGGCAAGCCAAACTTAAATAAGGATATTCTTTCACTGATATACAGTGGAGTATGGATTTTGTGAATTGTTACTTATAAGATTATGAACTTAAAGAAATGAAAACCAACTGAAATATTTGCTTTGATTTTTAAAATTTTCAGACAATAATGTATTTTTTAGAAAGAAAGTTGACCAAATCCATCCCTCCTGCCCCCCCCCCCACCTTCCCCCTCCAAGCAAGAATTTGCGCCTGAATAATGATGTCTGGAAAGCAAAAGCAGAGCCTATGGAAGGAAATCTTAATTCTCAGTGCACTGGTCAGGCATGGCCGTAGTTTACTATCGCCGAAGACCCAGATGAAGTGGTTGCAAGGGAGAATAGGGCTGTGTTGAAACACGGTAACTTTGAAAAATTAAACTAGGGGAAAATCTTTAGGAAGATTTAAATTTCAACAGAACACATTGCTACTATTGCAAGGTGGTCATGTCAATGCTGTGACTGTGATGCACTACAGCTGACAGCTAACTTAGCAATACTTCTCCCGGGAAGTTGCATTCGCTGTATCATGTCACTGCTTTGAGAGCAATTTGCATAGTGTTTTTCTTAACACTGACTTTATTTTATTTTTTTTTAATTTGGGTGCCGGAGCAAGGATTGGTTGTCAGCTATCCTAAGCTAATTAACTGTCACCCATACAGAAATCTTCCTGTTTGCACAGGAAAAGTATGAATAAGTGGGATGTCAAAGGAAACAGAAATTTTCAGGTAAGATCTGAACCTTTTACAAGACATGTGCCCACAACTGGAAAATTTTGTTGGATACATAATATTCTCAAAGCCAACATAGGGAAGAGGGGAAGAGGGTATGTGGCAAGGGTGAGAAGTGAGGTTCACTATACGTGCCTATACCCTGTCCCAATTTGAGCATTGTGTATAAAGTGTAATGTATGAGTACAGATATTGTACTGTATACCCAGATACTGCTGTATTGATCCAGATACCATGGCACACACTTCACCAAATTTCTGCAGGGAACGGAGGTTAAGTAAATGGTTCTGATTTTTGGCCTGCTCTGGTAGTAACACTGGAGGAGTTAATGGCTCAGGAGTTTGGTTTTGAGCCATACAAAATGAGGTGCGTGGTTACAATTTTGCCTCCATTGGTAGAGGGTGAAAGTCATTTCCATGTAGGAGCCATTTAGTGGCCCGCATGAAATGAGTTAATTGTTTCAGCCCATTTCCTAGAAAACTTGAAACCTTCTCACAAAAAGCATGATAACATTCAGTACCTTTAACAGGCTGAGAATGGAATAGCAAAAGGACTTGACCATTAGACCAGGGTACAAGCATATTTTCAAGTCCGTGTTAGGACGTTTGCACTGCTCTGTATATAGAAGACTTTGTCTAATTTCCTTTCACCAGCACTATACACAAGGAAAGTATTAACATTATCTTTCCTATTATACGTTTTCTTGAGGAAAAATACTCCTATCTTGTTTACAGTTAAAAAAAAAAGAGTCTAATATTTACTTGCAAAAGGGAGGGAAGTAGTTTTTCCCTTGTTCTAAAGTTGTTCATAGATTTATAGAGGAAATGACATGAACAGGATGTATTAACAATGTGACCCCAGTAGAAGGAACATTCCCTTTGTGGATTATTGATTTAAGAGTTTGTGTGTGTTCTCTGAATAATCACAATGGGTCAAATCTTAGTCTTGTTGAAATCAATGAGAGCTTGACAATTGACTTTAATGGGTCCACAGATTCGATCCAAAGTTTGAAGACAATATTCATAAGGAAACAACACAAGGATAATTTTTAGGTATCAGGACGCAAATCATAAATAAACATTTCCTTAAGTATACTTGCTGAATAGTCTGTGAATCAAATCCTCTTTACCCTACTGATACTCTCCTCCGTGGTCTAACCAGCCACACATTGACTGCACATCCCTGTTTATTTAATTGAAAAAGGGGCATTGACAAAAGCGTGATCCATCATTAGTGAGGAATTACACTTTGCTAGGGTTATAAGGACTCAAGCTATTGTTATAACCAGTGAGTGGGTATGACACAGAAGCACAGTTAGAAGCAGGGAGACAAACGCTTTTTGCTTTTGCTGTGTAGATATACCCTTTCTTCCCTTTCTGTGGTTTGGGGAGTGTAGCTGCCCTATGGATACTCCCCTCCTTCCCCAGCTCTTTGGTTGGTAAAGTGAGTACTTACTAGGAAGGCAGAGGAATCTGAAGTCAGGTAAGGCTCAGGAACCATTAAGACCTTGATGCAGTACTGAGAGCTAAATTTTTGGTTTTAGATACTTTGTTTCAGAAAACTTTAGACTACGAAGTTCACCTCCTAACAAATCAGGGTCAAAGGTTTAAAGTCTGAATTTTGCAGACCATGCAATATCACGTGCCTCTCATCCATTGTGTACATCAGACCAACACTGAGGTGCAGGGTACTCTGCCACATTTCATAGTTACAGCCCTTCCCACCGGGTTATGCTATGTACATGAGAAAACCTGGTACACTGTAGGCTGTCCAATTTCTCATTTGTTTCCATTCATTATTGTAAACATTTGGGACCCTTTCCCCTCTTTGTTACCCTCCTGTACCTTTGCTGAATTTCTACTCTTCTTCCTCGAACACAGTGCCCACAGATGCAGTGTTGGTCTTTTGTGTTCTCTTTTGATTTTGTCCCAGTCACTGTAGTAATACATTCGCAAACTCTTCTATGTATTTTCCTAGCTGCAACAAGGTCTGGAGCCTCATAATTTGAGATTTCTGAGCATTCTTCACTCTAGATCTTTTTCCTGATTGGCATCTCTTGAAATTTTTGACCTGTCATAGCATAATTCATTTTAATCCATGTTTACCAATTCTCGCCTCTTTACTTTATATTTGTCCATATTAAATTGCATAAATTACTTGTAAGCCTCATGCCTCTATTTTCCCCCGGCCTCTTTTGAGCCAAGTCTTCTTTTAATATTGCCAGTTTCATGATACTGTATCTGCAAATGTGCACCCCTGAGTGCATATTACTTCCTCCTATGTGATCTATAACCAT